AGCAATGCAGCTGATGCAAAGTTTGAACAAGCTCGACACGCCAGAACAGAAACTCGAAACCATCACCAAGAAGCACGCTGAGCTGGTCAGTTATCATGATGAATGAACGCAAAGCGAAATGGAAAAAAAAAAGAAAGAAAAAAGCTAGCATATTTGTCTTCTGAGCTGTTCTGTGTTGGAAAAGACATCGTTCACCTTCTGGTTGTTACTGTGTGTTTGTGCAGCTGGAGGAGCATCGCAGTGATCAGAAACAGCTGAAGGTTCTGCAGAAGAAGCTGCTCCAAGTCATGAAGGAGAAGGACCAACTGCAGAGTGAGCACAGCCGGGCTGTGCTGGCTCGCAGTAAACTGGAGGGACTGTGCCGAGAGCTGCAGAGGCACAACAAGACCCTGAAGGTACCTTAACTCATCACACTGCAGGTTTGAGAAGAGAAGTACAGAACAAAGTAGATAAAAAACCAAACAAACTCTGCTCTAATTACGTCTGGTTTCTGAGCTGCTGAAAAAGCCGGCTGCTCTCGGTTCCTGCCATTGCTGTGTGCCATATGTTGAGCTCAGCAGAAGGCGACAACAGCTGGACACAAAGATCAGGCCACACGTCAGAAGTTTGTTTCAGCAACGCCAAGAAGAAATTTACATTGCAGAAAAGAACGATTCTTTAATTCTTCCACAGAGAATACTGGAGACATGACAATTCAATTACTTTCCTGATCTACTACAGATGTTTTCAGAAAATATGTTTTGGTAGAATTTCTGCTCCAAACTTTTATTATAAAGTTTGTTGATGTTAAACATTAACACTAACCAGTCATTTTCTGAAAAAAATCAGTGTAAAATATTTTAAATGACATGTTTAGATTACTTCGACTATAACTAAATGGAATAGAACTAAACTGAATTTCAACCAATTTCTAACTGTTTACTGCGACAATGACGATCTCTTAAATCTTGAATCTAGAAAATTGTAGCACAAATAGCTCAATTCTTAGAAATTTCCTACAAATAAGAGAACAATAGAAAGGAAAATAATCAGAAGTCAGCAGTAAAAAGAGCTAGCTAAGCATGTACATAAAAGCCAGCAGTGATGATGACAAGTACACAGTAACAGCAAATAACCCTGGGAAGAAACTGCAGCTAAAGAAAGCACATCTTAAAATATTCCACTCGGTCAAAGGAAGTTGATAACGTGCCTTGTAAAAAAGCTCTTGTTCCAAATAAAACTCCAGTGCTACGATTGCATGTAATATACAGCTGCACCATGACTGTTTGTGACAAACAGGAGGAGACGCTGCAGAGGTGCAGAGAGGACGACCTGAAGAGGAAAGAGATCACCACCCACTTCCAGGGGACACTCAGTGAGATCCAGGCCCAGATCGAGGAGCACAGCAGCCGCAACACCAAGCTGTGTCAGGAGAACAGCGCTCTGGCTGAGAAACTGAAGGGACTCATTTCTCAGTATGACCAGCGTGAGGCGGTATGGAAGTGCATGTGGGATCAAACCCTAACATGTTTTAAGAAGAATATTTGTTTCTACATCTACACCTTTTACTTGAACTTGTTAGAAACACACACACACACACACACACACACACACACACACATCTGGACTTACTGGCTTCTTTCAAACGCATGAATCATTTGTAAATTTTCTTCTCGGCCTTACATTTATTAGCTACAGTATTTCAGTTCAGTGGAGCCAAAGCTCCTTGAGCAAGAAAAAGAAACAGCTTTGTGTTTGAGAACAGCTCATAAATCCCCCCTGAATGTCTTCCAGAACCTGGAAAAGGTCTTCAAACACAGAGACCTGAAAGAAAAGCTACTGGAAACCAAGCTCCAGCAGGCGAACATGATCCTGAAGGAGGTAGAGGAGAAGCACAAGCTGGAGAAAGAGCATGTATGTTCAGTGTTTGGATAACTTTAAAAGAAAAAAAAAAGCAAAATGAAAACCTGAATGCAGATCTTGATGTTACATTCCCACAGCTGCTGAAACAGGCTGCAGAGTATAAAGTGCAGGTGAAGGTCATGAGGGAGCAGGAGGTTGACATGAAAAACCAGGTACACTGTGACATTCAGGCCTCGTGGTCAAACGTTACTGACCAACTTCAGTTTTCACAGAGTCAAATGTAACATTTTTTTCTCCTTATTTTTTTCTCTCCAGCTGGACATGTACTCCAAGAAGTTTGACGAATTCCAGGGCACAGTATCAAAGAGCAACACTGTCTACAGCGGCTTCAAGCAGGACATGGACAAGGTGAGAACAGCTTCCATTTGTTCACGTTAGTGTTAAATACATTTAATTATTGATACCAGTGACGTACACCAAAAGAAGCCGGGTCAGAAGAAAATTAAGCTCCTACGATACGGATCATGATAAATGGGCGACGATACGATATACTACAATATTATAGGAGCGATGATATATTTATATTTTTAAAAAAACAATTTAATTGCAGCAAATCTGTCAGCATACTAAATGCACAACGCTATTGATGCTTAAAATCAAGTTACTGAAATTGGAACAGAGGGATCTACATCTGTTAAAAAAAAAAATCACAACAGAGTAAGCTTAAGTCATTTTAGCAACTTAGACAATAATGTTTGGCGCCCCCTAACGTCCCCTATTGTCAATGCACCCCCTGCTCCTCTAGAATGTTTTACCAGTTGACCTGGTAACCAAGAAACCCCAGAGAATGTGACTGAAGTTCCTTCCTGCCTCGTATGGTGTTTTTTGTTAGGGTGACTTCCACATTTTAAAATCTTGGTGTAATTTCCGTATCATAGATGGCCAAGAAAATGAAGAAGCTGGAGAAAGAGTGCCAGTCTTGGAAAACTCGCTTTGACGGCTGTAACAAGAGCCTGATTGACATGGTGGCAGATGTAAGTCAACATCTAAATGTAACTATTGAACAAAGACCTACTTAGAACTGTTCTTATTGGTTTGTTGTCTGCGTTCTACAGAAAGCCATCAAGGAAAAGGAGTTTGAACTGGTCACCGTAAAGAACCAGAAGCTTGAGAACCTCTGCAGGGCGTTGCAGGAGGAGAGGAAGAGTCTTTATGAGAAGGTGCAGGGAACTGCAGGTCAATCAGGCGTAACCACAGCTGAACCAACAGTGAAGGTGCAGGAGGAGGTTGCTGAGGTGAAGGAGAGCCATAAGGACGTGGAGGACCACCAGCCTCCTGTCCAGGAAACCAAAGCTCCAGCCGACTCCTCTCCACTGACCCACGAACTGGCGAAACTGAAAGCCGAGCAGGCCCGCCTTCAAGAGATCGCCGGCTCTTTCACAATCTCTCATGTTACTCCTACAGAAACAGAGGGCAGCCAATCACAGGGCCACTCTGCGGGCAACCACCAGCCACAGCAGAACCACACAGAGCAGAGCAGCTGCGAGCGGGTCCAGGAGAGCAAAGACGACAAATACCAAGAACAGAGAGATTTGGAAATGGAGTCTGTTGATTGATGCTGCAATCACTGTAAAAATAATCATAAAAAACTGGCTCCTGTCAGGTTCATAGCAATAAAATGGGAAAAAAAAAAAAGTTGGCTTTAACTTTCAGTGCCTCATCCTGATATGTCCAGATTTAAGAGATGCTCAGTTTCAGGCTGCATCTACATCTGTTGCTTTATGACTTCTCTCTCACACACACACACACACACACACACCTAAAACTTTAGTGTGTGTCGACAACTTCCCTTGTTTAATAAAGTAAGAAAGGTGGTATTGATCGAAATAAGAAGTAAATAAATGTGTCAATATTTGTATGACATATCAATTCAGACATATTCAATGAGATGGTAATATTACAGTAGACAACTATGTATATATATATATATATATTTAACCAATTGACTGACCTGTACAACACTTTTATCTAAATGTCAGGAACAGAAATCATTAGAAAATCTATTCATTCAATAGAGAAGAATACCAACAAGTACGAATGAAGTCTTACAAAGTAGCTGCAATTTCACTCAAAAGGTAGAATAGCTCCCTCCAGAGGTGGGGAATTATTGAAGGACCACCAGAAAATCTCTGAGTGTCCTATTAGGTCCAGGTGGACTTGGAAAGGCAACAGTATACTTGACTGAACCAAGCTGATCAGAAGTTCCACCTCTGCAGGAAATCTCACTGATCCACAGTTTGAAAGCAATCAGGCGGCTGAAGTCGAGCAGCCAGCTGTGGACTCTTGTGTCTTCGCTGTCATGACTTTTGCTGAAAATGGAATAGCTCTGCTGGAGCTGGCCATTAGGCAGAGCAGAGAAGGTAGGCAGCGTTCTGTGAGGCCGCAGCAGACAAGTGTGCATAAAAATAGACGTGCAGACAGACAGGGAGCTCTGCAGCAGATTTATGGTCGAAGAGGGGGTGAAGGAGGAAGAGGGGGAGGTGGTGGAGGAGAGAGAGCAGAAGGACTGTCAATAATTAGACATAAAGAATGAATCCTGACACTTTAACTGGCTACCTTCACGTGTGTTTATCTCCCACAGTCTCACTGCGAGAATTCATCAGGCGGAAAATCAGCAGTGAACGGAGAGAGTCTCTGTTGGGTCTCATTGATGCTGCAGCCTACAGTCCTGAAGGTGCACCGCGGTGAAGTTATTTTAGTGTATGATTAGAGTAATGAGTGAGTATTTTAACTAACATCTGGATTAAGTACAGAGTCGTCCTTGTCAGACCATAAGACCAAGGTGGTGCTGTTCAAAAAATGGTTGATTAACTAAACCCAGACTTTCACATATTCTTTGTTGTCCTTCCACAGTAAAGACAAGGTGACTGCAGCACATAAACTGACCACTATGTGTTGCCAAGTCCTACACAATGCACCTTAAGGTTATTGATCAAATTATTTTCAGTGTGTCTTTGAAGAGGAAAATGGATTCGGAGGATTTATGGAGACGTAACAATCAATTGATCAATAATTTACATGTTCAATAAATTAAAAAATCTGTTTTCAAAACGTTTAGAATGGCAATGATTTTAGGGGTTTTGTTTAGTCAACAATCCTTTATGTTGTATCATTACTATAATGATTATAGTTTGATAAAAGTTGAATGATTTTTAACTTATTTCACACTATAAGAAGCAGTTGGTCTCCCAGTTTAAGCTCTACTTGACTTCATGTAGCTCGTACATCTCCTCATTCCTCATTTAGCAGACGTTCATTAACTCAAATCATTCATCAGTAAGTTCAAATGTGTTCAGTTGTGAGTGTTGGCCACTATTGTTTCAACTGGAGTTAAATATAAAACCCAACCATGCAGCAGTAGACATGCAGCTCCTGTGTCCATCACAGCGAGAACCACAGAATTTCTATATTATCTTTGGTGTATGAAAACACAGGATTCCTATTTTGCTTTCCATCACAAAGCATTTGCATGGCAGTTACAAAAGTACAAGAAACTCCTATTATTTTAACCTTGGACTGATCCCGACATCGGCAGAACCCTGGAGGAACGATCCGTCAGTACCTCAGAGAACCACACTGCTAAGATTGGACTTATCACTCAAGGATATTTGACTTGTGTGTAGATTTACACCAACGTGCCGCGGCTGAAAGACCCAATAAAAATAAAGAAACACTAAAACCTGTGCTGCGTTACACCTCCAGCTGTGTGGCTCTGCGGGAGGCGACAGGAGGCTGTCGGCAGCTCACAGTGAGTTATTTCATATCAAAAATAAATCTAGAAGCAGCTCTAAACAGAGCCTTTCACACTCTGAGTCACTGAGTGTGGCCGATGCATCGCAGATGCAGTGGGATTCTTTTGTGCAGCGCTCGGACCATGAGTTACAGCTCAGTGCTGCGTCACAGACTGAGGTCCATCCATCAACACATATTTCACCACAGATTTTTTCTCATCAATGCCAGAACTGGAGAATCTTTGATTCAATTCTTTCTTTCTTTTCTTTCCTTTTTTTAAATAAATGTAAACTGCTTAAATATCAGACTGATCACCCATTAAGAATAAAGAACATAGATATTTAAGGTGTTTTTTTTTTCTTTTTACCTTTTGCTGTGTAGCTCAGTGACACTGAAGAAGTATCTTGGCCCAGGTAGAAGATCCTGCTGGTGTCCAGCTGGTCGCTCTCCTGCCTGTTCTGTCGACTCCATGTGGAAGATCTGGAGAAGAACAAAATTATACATTTTAAATGGGTCTGTACATTTTTTTTTTTCAAATTAATAATTGGCAGATTGACGTGCACTGTATATCCAATTATTCCCAGCAACGAGCCACTGTCAAGATGCAGTGATGACCAGAATTCACCAACTCTATGTAGAAACATATTGACCTTTTGTATATATTTCCATCATAATAATTCCATCATTCTGATTAGTCACAAATAAAAACACACATCTAGCAACATTCCTTTTTCCTCGTTTCTACATCTGATGCCAACACAACACCTTGTCTCACCGTCTTAAAGATTAAATGTCATATTTAAAGCTGTGACAGATGATATTTCACTGAAAAAGATGTGAAAAATGTAAATTAGATGAACCTTCCCCTAATATTAGATCAGTTTCCTTCTTTGTTTTTTGTTCCTCAACTCGATCTCATCAGTGAAGACTTTGCACTGCAGCCATTTTGACAGTTTCAGAGAACAACCACAGGTGGAACGCTTCATGTCATGACGGTTCAATTCCATTCAGCTGCCTGACGTCCAGGGGAAGCTGGTTTTCTGTCACATGGTCTTGAACTGAGCCAGACATCTGTGCCGCAGTTGAAATAAAAAAATTAAAATGTTTTAATTGATTGTACACAAATAATTTGCCTGACGTCCAGGGGAAGCTGGTTTTTTGTCACATGGTCTTGAACTGAGCCAGTCATTAACATGGTTAGAGTCAGCTCCAGACATCTGTCCCGCAGTTGAAATAAAATGTTTTAATTGATTGTACACATCACCAAAATAAATAAATAAAAAATAAAAAAATAAAAATAAAAACAGTTCAGTTTTTTAGTGAAATATTTAACACAGCTTGACTGCTCTGAACATATGCACACTCATTTATTTATCATCATTTATTTACTGTCATCTTTAAGAGGAATAAATATTACATGTTGTATTTATTGATTTATCTTTTCTGAAGTACCTGCAGGCACAGTGTAGAGGTGGTGTTGGTTTCCATTGGATGTTAGGAGGGAGCCACCTACTGGCTTAGGGCAACATGTTGTTAGACCCTGAGAGAAAGGTCAGGGGTCATCACTATGCATCAAGAAAACTGGGTCGAGTGTTTAAATCTGTATTTGACAAACCCTCCATGCTGTAATATTTCAGCTTTACACTGGTAACGTTTCTGTTGAAGGTGTTAGACTTCAGTAACTGCTGCTCTGCTGCTTTTGTTTTTGTTTTTTTGTTCTGATGTTATTTGTGTTTTTATTTAGTTTCGCTCAACATCAGATTTTTAAATCTACCTTTTTAAAATGGATATTCTCCATTTCATGGTACGACAAAACAACTGTCTCTCTTCCATCTAGTTTCTCATCCTAGTGTTGAAAATACACAATGAAATCTTGTCAACTTCATCAAAATGAACCAGCGAAGGCGAAGTACTCAACCAAAGTACTAAACACATCATCAAAGTAGAAAGAAGTACTGTCTGACCTTAGTCTGTACCAAAGCTGTGAATATATGGTTGAATTAAAAAAAACAGTAGTTCAAAATACACCACACTACAAATCACAAAAATACAGATCACTTTATAATTTGTCTACAGCATGAATGACATGAAAGCTCTAATGATGCTTCAGCACAGAGCTACATTTCAGAACATGAGAGAAAATATGGTGTGATTTTCTTTCAGCCTCCAGACAACAATACCACCAATTGTTCCGTTTTTCTAGCTGTATATGTAATTATGGGTTGGAGTCTTAAAGGCTTTTGTTCTTTTGTAGATTTTACCCTCCCTGCTCAAACAAAAGCTGCCCCACATACATGCAGCCGACATGTAACTAACAATAAATTGTGCCGTGGAAAACGGCTGGTATGCATCAGATGTGGGAAATCTCTCATGGCTGAATATCTGTGTCTGTTTGAAAAAGTGAGGAGGAATATCCTGGTGAATGTGGAATCTGTCAGGGTCACATGATAATGGGCTGTAATGGAACATATTCTGAATTAAAGCGAGCATTAGAAAATGTACTTTTGGTGGAAGAGCACAGCAGGGGGTGAATGTAGATGATGATGATGACGATTTGTCTGCATATGATGAGAAACTGTTTGCTTCACATAACAAAGAACCACTGACCCGACAAATGAGGGCAGAGGGCTGTGAAGGCCTGGGGAGAGGGGATGAAGTGGACAAGTACATTTAAAAACCTCGTTGTTCAGTCGATGAGTTAGTAACCAGTGAAGAAGAAGGTGACCCTATAGGATCTGATTAGAGTTGTGACCAGAGACACGTTTAGACATTCCTGGATCTACAGAAGCTAAAAGTTACTTAGAAACTTGAAGGTTTAGGTTCATTAAAAATAATGCCGGAGCAGGACCAGAGACAGAAGTTAGTTAAAATGATCAGACAGTGGAATGACAGCAGAGAGGACCTGTTTGAGATCAGCCAACCTGATGAGGTGAGTCAACCAATGGTATTATTGACAGCAGGGCTGGCAGAATTAATCTGTTAACTTCATTAATTTGTGAAATTGACAGGGCTGGCAGAATTAATCTGTTAACTCCATTAATTTGTGAAATTCACATTAAAGGGCAGAATGAATGCTGCTGTATATGCACATTATATATTACACATACTGCAGGAAAAACCCTTTGACTCAAATTCAAAATTCAATTAATACGCAGTTAAGTCTGCAACCATTTAAATTTGCCTCATGTAATAATTTTCCTTAAAATATAGATATAACAGCAACAAAAAGCTTTACCGACCAAACGTCAGACATCAGAAACCAGCAACTGAACTATTTGTCTGAGAAACGTATGAACTAATTTATTACATCAGCTGCGTTAAACCATGAGATACAAAGTTGAAGATGTAGAAAAAATCAGAGCATAAAACAGTAAGGAATAGTAAAGTAATTAAAATTGTATAACCATATGTGTAGAATGTGTCCTCAATACAACAGAGCATAAAACAGTAAGGAATAGTAATTAAAATTTTATAACCATATGTGTAGGGTAGATCTGAATGTGTCCTCAATACAGGTGATAATAACAGGTCCAATATGGATGTTTAAGAGTTTAAGTAAACAACAACAACAACACACGTTCATGCAGAACCTGGAGTTTCACGGCGTGATGCGGTTCTGCTACGAGGACCACATCGAGAGAAACACGGCGACAAAGTGCCTGCGTGTTTGCAGCAAGTCTTCAACACGGGAGATCATCGGAATCCTCTCAGAGAAATTTAGGCCCGATATGAAAATACCGTCTGCTGCCTGTTCCCTGTATGAGGTGCAGGCCAAGAAGGGTGAGCATGCAGTCATTAGCATGACAATCTGTCATTAGCATGTGACAATCTGTTGATGTTCAAGCAGGTCTGAGAGTTATTCTTTGTTTCATGTGGTTGAAGAACGAAGACTGGATCAGGATGAGAAACCTCTAATCGTACAACTGAACTGGAACTCAGAAGACAGAGAAGGGCGTTTTGTGCTTAAAGTCAAGGAAAGATCGCAGGTGTCCTCTGTGTCCTATCATTCTTTTTAGAAAGAATTGTGGGGGGAAAAAAGTAGATTGGTGTTAACAAGACTGTGTTTCTGTGTTAAAGGAAAATTGTTATGAGAAGGATAAAGGTGGCATGATGCAAAGTTTCAAAAGAACGCTGTCAAGAAAAGACAAAAAGACAGACAAGAACAAAATCAAAGCAGCTGACAAGGTTTCAAGGGAAGAGGGAAGGTAATATCATCACCGATATTTGTTGTTGAAGTGTTTTCACAATGGTTCCATTTCTGGTTGTCAAAGACATATCTATCCCACATTCAGATCAGTTGGAGAACCACACAACAAAGATGTTTGGACGTCAAACACTGATACAAACCAGAGGCTACAGAATCCTGCTGCTGTTGGTGAGACCTGACACACTCTGTCATTTTAAGATCCAAAATAGACTAAAGCCACAGATCACAAGATGAAATTCTCTCTCTCAGCTCTGAGAGGTCTTAATACTATATAAAAACATGAAAGTCTTTGCTCGATAAAAACAACTTTGGTAACTGTTTCCTCAATCATTCCATTTCAGTATTTTACATCATTAAACCCAGGGTTTGTTGATGCATTAGTAAACTGTTTGTTTCTTCACTGACTTGTTAAACATATTAAATGAGACAGCAGCAGAGCAGCAGCTCCTACATTTATTTTAGCTAAAAATGTAAAGAGGCTTTGTTTAGAGAGGCCAAGAAATTTACAAGCCTCATTTTCCTGTCAGAAAACAAATGTGGTCCTGAGATATTATTATGTTTTATCTTCTTAATAGTTTCTACTGAGTAAATCTTCATCCTTGTTTTTCAGAGAGGGTTGAATTACCATTAGAGATCAGGTCCAATGACAGCTGTGAGTATGATATACAGATCTCCTTTCAGCGTTATTTTTACGAGTAAAACTTGCAATTTCAGAAGCTTCATGGTCTTCCCTCTCACAACCCCCTTCTGCCCCCTGGTGGTGGGTGATTTCTTTCACTTTCAGCTGAAGAAGCCTTTCTTTCTGCAGTCATAAATTACACCAACAGCTCCACCGTTCATTTCAAGCTTTCACCTGCATACATCCTCTATGCTGTGGTGCGTTTTGCTCTGCAGCGCCCTCTGCCTTCTGGCCAAATCCATGGTGTATCAGTGCTAGTTGATAAAATGGTGGCCATGACAAGGAAAGTCATCCAGGTGAGTTTTTGATGCCCACTTGTTTTAGTTCAATGAGTTAAAGCTGAGTTTATTAGAGTGCTGAGTGAACTTAAATGATGCCGCTTGTTCATTTGTCTTTTAGAGACAGCAGACCATTGCCAGCGCTCTCACTTTCTGGATGGCCAACTCCTCTGAGCTGCTGAACTTCTTCAAGCAAGACAAAGACCTCTGCCAGCTCACACAGCCCAGTCAACTGGATCTAGCCCACCTTGTGCATAAAGCGTACAGGTAAACACGACTGAACAGCAGAATTCAGTAGATTCCAAATGGCTCTTGCAGTGGCTGCTTGCATTTCCTCTCTGATGAAATTCCCTAGTAGTTTGTGCCAATTGTTCCATAACAATCCAATCCATAACAATTGTTTACAAACTGTACAAAAGCCAGGTTAACTCAGAGGTAAAAAAAAAACAAAAAACGAATTCGTTGTGGTCTATTTTCTCAGGGAAAATAGTCAAATATAATTCTGCTTCTTGGGGCATTTTTTGTGGTCAGTTTAAGGACAAAGAGTTATGTTTTAATTATCCTTATTTGTTTTTGTTTGTTTTTCAGTTTTCTGCTTCAGTGTCTGCAGAATGAGTTGAAAAAACATTTGCCAACATTTCTGATTGATCCTGAGCAACACGGGCCGCTGCCAGCTGGTATTGGTAAACATGAATTACTTAAAATGCAATTAATTTCTTTATTGAGCTAATTGTATTATTTGTACACACGATCCTGCATGTTGAATATTAGTAAGAATTTGTGGAGGACTTAAAAATAGTGCTTGCCAAAAAAGTAACAAAAAAATCAGCTAGGGCTTTTTATAAAACTTTTTTTCACAACATATACAGAATAAAAAAGCCCTACAGTTTATACACAACAACATGGTATCATAACAAGATAGACACCAGTATAAGATAACTATTTCTATTATTGTGTCACAGAAAAGACAGAAGACCATCCAAACCCTCCTAACGCTATAGAATTACATACAACAGCATGTCCTTCAATTATGGGCATTAAACACCACTAATATGACACCCTGGCTTTATCACCTTAACCCTCTCAATTACAGAGAAGGTACTGAACACTTTAATGAACACCATGGCTCTCTTCCGCCGCTGCCGGGTCAACCATGCCCTGACCGTCCAGCTCTTCTCCCAGCTCTTCCATTTCATTAGCGCCTGGCTGTTTAATCATCTTATGAGCTCAGAGGTTGACGCTCAACGCCTACGATCCCACTACTGGGGAGCCACTCTGCGCCACAGGCTTTCAGTCATGGAAGGGTGGGCAGAGCGGCAGGGCCTGGAGCTGGCTGCTCACTGTCACCTGGGACACATCGTCCAGGTCAGTCCCCTTCTAAACCTACATGTTAAGATCTTTGGTCAAATCAGGCTTAGATTAGTCTTAATAATAAGAACTGCTTCAATGAGAACGTTATTACACCTGAAAAAACATTTTTTGTCCATTAGTCTTTTCTCCTCTAATGTTACCAATTTCAACAGATGTTCTAATGTCATATGGCTCTCGTGATTATGTAAAAATCCATTAGGAGCATCCCTCACTGAAGTTTCTTTGTATGAGTTGTGAGTTTGCCGATCATTAGCAGATTCTGTCTCAGGTTTTTATTCACCACGTCTAAGGACATTCACTAGAAGAGATGTTAAAATACTGTTGCACGTTGGCTGTTTCCAGGCAACCACACTCCTGACCATGAGCAAGTACTCGATGAGAGACGCAGCGGATGTTCAGGCTACCTGTTTCAAGTTAAACTCCCTGCAGCTGCAGACTCTGCTGGCTGGATACCTCTATGCAAACAATGAGCCACACATCAGCCCTGTGAGTACTTGTGTCTGCATTCACTCCCTCTCTGCCCATTTCAAAGAGCTCATGTATGCCTCCTCCTCCTTGTAGCAGTTAGCCATTTATATTCTCTCTGTGCAACATGATGAGAATTTCGATGTAATTTTATTTGGTGTGCAAGGTACACATGGCCACATGTGTATTATTAAATATACACAAGGATAATTTAACTATTTCCTGTGTTTATTGTATTTCTTAATAACTTATTCATTTCATAGCATTAATGTAACATATTTTTTCTACCAATAAGGAACAACTGTGGTTCAGTTGATGTGTTACACACCTTTTCTGGTAACTAATCCAAATGATGGCTTGGCCTCTCGCCTGAAGTTGAAGCCTCCACTAATACATGATGGGAGTTGAAGTGATATTTTAGGCTTCAGTAAAACCTTAACTTTTTCCCACAGTGTGTGTAAATTACATGTGTATCGACTATCGAACATATGTTGGTTCTTCTACGTATCGTCATTTTGGTCAAGAACTGATAAAAACAGCACAAAGCACACTGCAAGTGTATTTTACCAATACTTAAGCACACTTAAGTATTGGTAAAATACTTAAGTACTACTCAAGTTTACTTATGAGAGTTTCCACAACTTACACTGAAGGAAAAAGGCCCAATAGTGTGGCTGAAACTGTATGAATAATTAAAAACAAAGACTATGATAATGAATAAAACATGAAACACCGTAAACCCAGATGTCACATTACCTGATTGCTTCTGAATGAAAAATTTCTCCAACACTTTGCTCAATATTAGGCGTGTGTGGAAGAAAAAGTTAATGTGTCCTGTGCTTTTCTGGCCAAATCAAGTCCTCCCATTTAACAATTATTGCAGGACATCAATTTTGCAGGCGGCCGCGACAGCCTTCGTTAACATCATTACTCTCCGTTAGAGCTCCCAGTTTGCATTTGCAATGAGCCAACGCAGCTGTTTACAGACAGGCAATAACTCAGCTGGAAATATGCCACGACCTCGATTCAACTACTGACAGTCAGGCCTCAAAAACAAACACCAGCATTCATATTTAATCTGTGAAACAATCAACAGCGTGATAGCACCATTATGCCATCAGCCACACGTCTCACTGTGGGCCTGTCACGTTTTTATGGCACTGTCTGGTTATCAACATTTACCAGTTTAAATTTGACAAGGTCTCATTTATTTGCATTTTTAGATGCAAATTTTACATGATGTTATTTGTACATCTACTTCTTTTTGTCTTCAGGTCAATAGCATAACATTTTCTTTCGTACTTTTAGTGAGTTGAATCACATTTAGAGCAAATTTAAGGATAAAGCATGACAGCAGAGGGTAAAATTACTAAAAAAAGGAAATGAATTTAAACTGACATTGTCCACAAATTAGATTATTTTTAAATATTCATTGATGAAATCAAATAATATAAAAAATTAGATGACACAAATTCAACTTATCAATAAAAACACTGCTCTACAATAAAAACAGGATAACTTAAATTTCAATAACACACACACTGCTCTCAATAAAGTTTGTGACTTGGTGAGGTGTAAACTCCTCTCCTATCTACTGTAAGAAGAGACATTAGTGCATTCAGTGTTAAAGCACATCTTCAAGTGTTAAAATAGTAGTCCCATAACAGCAAGATACTACATCTGCTACCAACGCAGATCTTATAGTAAGTCTTTCTCTTGTCTTCAACCCTGTCTTCAACCCTCACAATGTTGATCTACATAAATAAACCACCCATGAGGGCAATGACACACTCCAGTAGTAGGAAGTCAAACTCAAATAACATTCCATAGATGGTTCCAAAACAGAACAATTAGAGAGGTAATTAAATAGTATTTTCAGATTCATGTTGGATTTCCAGTTTGGTCAGATGTTCAGCAAACGCATCTGAAGAAGTTTACCCAGGTTCACATCAGGACAAATGGGTCCTCTGCACACAATGTCCACTAATGTAGGTACCTCAAAGAACCTTGTCACTGAATATCCCTGCTGTCAACCTCGCTCCAGGCTTTGATTGATGCCATTAGGGCGGCTGCTGAGGCCTCAGTAGACAGCCTGATCCGGAGTGAAGGACGGAACATACAGCTGGAGGAGAGCCTCGACCTACACCTGCCCTTCCTGCTGCCAGAGGGAGGATACTCCTGTGACACTGTGAGAGGAATCCCAGCGGGATTCAGGGAATTTTTGGAGCCAATATGTCGAAAAGGTATAGGGTTCTGAATAGTCATTATAATCAGATTACAGTATTGCACTGCATCTGAATATAACACACCTAAAATAGATTATTTGAATGGTATTTGTATTGTATTACATCCTTTCCAGGTCTCTGCTCTGTAACATCCCAAACAAACTCAAGAGGAAAATGGACTGTGTTTTTTAAGAAAGCTGCTCCTCCAGCAGATAGCACATATTTGGTAAATATCGAGTTTCATGTCACTAGAATTCAAACTTCTGCATCAGTGTGATTTTCATTCTCATCGGTGTGATGAGTTTCTTTAAACAGTCAGTGAACAGAGACCCAGAGATTGTGACCGTCACGCTGAGAAAACCTCTCAACAGTGGAATGGGGGTCAGCATCGTTGCAGCCAAGGTGACTACCTCCAAGTTGACAAATTGTTTTTATCCTCGCTAACCAGAGTTATTTTAACATTACATTTATGCTCATTCTTTTATGTTCACACAGGGAGCACAGCAGGATAATCTAGGGATTTATATTAAATCCATTTTAAACGAGGGACCAGCTGAAATGGTGAGAGACATCATTGGCCAAACCTGAGATTTTACAAAGCTTATAAAAATCAATCTTGTGTATTTTGGTGTACAGAATGGAGGACTAACAGCTGGAGACCAGCTGCTCAGTGTGGACGGTCAAAGCCTTGTTGGTCTCACCCAAGAAAGGTATGTTGCCATGGCCCTCCAGTTGTGGCCCAGCCCACAAGTTGTGAACCGCGAGCCACATATTTGCTTACTGAAGACTGGACATGTTAAAGGGAGTGTTATCCTTTCCTTCAATGTGTTTGTATTGGTTTATCATTGCCACACAAGCTGTGCGCTGTTTTTACCTTCACTTTAGAAGCAGCTGCTTAAATACATTTCCGGCAGCAGAAGGCTAACGTTTAAAAATAATAGAATGACATATAAGTATTTGTGCTGGGGAAATATTACAAATTTGTATTGCAATTAATTGCAAGATTATGTGCAATAATTGCACAATAATTGTGTGCATAGACGTTGTTGCCTCTATATACAACACAGATGGAGTCGGGATTAAGTCTCTCTCCACATGGTCCGAGCAGACCAACTATAGCATTAAATCAGGGGTAAAATTATTGACAATGTTAATTTGCAGAGTTGAAATGATTTGTGAAATGGATGGTAATTGTATTGATCTTTTTTTATTGATTTAGGGCAGCAGCGATTATGTTGCAGACAGGCCCTGTTGTGATTTTGCAGGTTGCAAAGTTTGCAGCTAGATACCATGGTCTAGAGGCTGTGCTGAGTGGACAAGAACCTGATAGAAATATAGGTAAAACCCACATTTAAAGAAAAAAGTAAAATTATTTTACTTCTAATGCCTATCATGACTTAATCAAGAACTCTATTTTCTTGCCCCGCAAGGTGATGAAGGCAAGACAAACGGATACAGACGGAAGAAAGAGCAGAATCTGCAGAAAAATCGGCAGCTTTATCGTTCCAACCCCAACATGACCAGTTAATGCACTTCCTTTATGATTCCTTTGCTCATTATTATGGGGTACTTTAAACTAATACGTCTTTATTTTCTTCTTTTTGGATCAGATCCCAGCTGGGAAGATGGAGATGAGTCTGTTGGCTCTGACTGCAAAGGAAATATCACCTCAGTTTCCACAATCAACCTCTGCACTGATGTAAAAGATCTCTGTTTTAACACATGCCAACGTATCATAACATATGATTAAAATAGGGCATTTTCTTAATGTCCCAATTCGGTCTTTGAATCACAAAAATAATGTTTTCATTTGACTAAATGTAGCCAAAATCATTTCGTCAGCATTGTCGAAGAATAAGCCAATCACATAAAGCAGCAGGGGAAAATGCATTCAACTCTCCAAATGTACATTGATTTTAGAACAAGTTTATTTTTGTTCTGTCTTTTAAAATTCCAGTTTCCAAGGGATTATTTGACTCTTCCTGCAATCAAGTCACAAGACTTAAAAACCTATCAATTCAGTCGACCACGGCAACAACCTGTGCCTTTGAGACCTTTGAATGAGAGAAGCTACTATAAGACGACCTTCATGGTAAAACCTAAAAAAAATTACCCTAATGTGTGCAAAAACAAATAAAAAAAGACTAATGTTTATTCATTCATATTCTGTATAAAATAGCTCTAAAAAATATGACAAAATCATTTTTATCTCTACAGCGTCAGGCACGCTCCCAGGAAAACTTGTACATGGACAGTGGACGCCCCCTTCTGGACGAAAAGCGGAACACGTGGCAGCAGGGGAGCAGGAACCCCCCCAGCCACGATGAGCAACTATTCTTCTTCCCCTATTCGCTCCTGTGTTTCGACCCTTGACATCTGCAAAGATGTCACTTCTCCAAAAATGCAGGAAAGTCGCACCAGAGGCGCCGGTGTTTGGCGAACACCGTTTTCACAACACCCAACTTCTACGCCCTCAGTTCAGCCTATACGTATAGACATACCCATAACCCGAGCTGAGGCTGCGCGTTCAAATCCTCCACTCACCACCTTCCAGACTCCCTCTTCGCAGACGCTTAAGATGAGCATAAATGGACACAAAGAAAGTTCTCAGAACCACGAAGACCACATGTATGCAAACCCCATCTCCGTAACCAAGAAGGTACCTCCACCCTCTCTGCTATCAACGCAACAGCTGAACGGATCCAGCATCTTCAAGGGTCAAATAGTAAAACCTCAGGTAAGCATCACTCCAACGAAACACGTTTCCTTCCAAGAACCTCCTACTCACCATAAGAAGGTAACGGTTCCAGTGAAGAAAAAAGAACAGGAGGTGTGTCGGCCGTGGAGAAGAGCAACACAGGAGGAGATGGAGAAACAGGTGAAGCTTCTAGAAGTAGAGACTCTGGAGAAGGAAGTGCAGGAGCTGCAGGCCAAAATGAAACACTCAGAAGAAGAGAATAACAGGCTTCACAAACTCAGCCTGGAGTGGAGGTTTCAGAAGAAGCTGCAGGAGGGTCAGCAGACAAGAGAAGATGAGGACAAAGACGGGGATTTGGAAATGATGGTGATGATACAACAGATGGACACAAAAGCTCAGGTAAGACAGGCCAGAGGTAAAACATCTACTTGATTGGCTTCATATTTATGTTTGTACATGTATTAATGCAGTGATACTGCAGATTAATCATGATTGTGTAGGAGCGAGTAACAATGGTATTTTAGTAGCCTCTGTAGAGAGAATGTTGAAGTTCTTTTCTTCTAATTTAAGAGCATAAGGAGCTCTGTAGAAAAGCTGGAACAACAATCAGGAAATCGTGTCTCACGCAACGAAGACGAGACAAATACAGGTAATCCGTCACAAGAGCAAAACCTGCAGTTCAACATTTTCAAATAATTTAATTTGAAGAGTCAGTACTTATGAAATATACTGTGAATGTGCATTTTTGATGTGTTTGGCAGGTCAAAGGGCAGTTGGACAGGCAAAGGACATTCATAACATCAAATCAAAGAGGTGTGTTTACAGGATTTATCCACATCCACATATCAGCAGCATAAAAACATCCAAGTGCATCAAGACATACTGCACACAGTGATTACTTTAAAAAACAGACTGTGACATGCAGTCAAAATTATATTTTTAATTATACTCTTTTGCTTTATGAGGCAACATGTTGTGTATTTAAATTACTGCCCTACGTACTACATTTTAGTACCTAGTATTGATCAAAGTTTCCCTTGAAAAAAAAAAAAAACTCAACTCCTAAAGACTACTGTTCTGTGTTATGCACTGTTCCCTTAAACTCATGCAATGGTCGTGTGTGGTCACATGTCCCGTTAGCCCCATTCTCCTTCTCAGTTTGAATCTCAGAATATCATTTCAATCTAGCTGTCTGAATGCATTGTTTTTCCCAGTCGTGCAGACAGGACTAATGGCGTATCCAGTGATTGTTTGGTTCAAGTATATGTAGAATTCAAGTATATCCCCTCACAATGTCGTTTATTTGCAGGAACCAAGAGGAGAAAATCAGAGCGATGGCTCCTGAGATGCTCACGTTCAAAGAGCGTCAGCGTCTCTTTTCTCTGGCGCCCACTGCATAAAAAGGGCTTAGAGCTGAACAACAGACCCTGAAGAACAATGTGAATGAAGTGGTGGAAATGTGCTAGGAAAAAAGATTAGCAGTATTCAGTAAGTTTTTGTAAGAAATACAAATATGTAATACATGTAAGTGTAACCTTTAGTTAGATTTCGATCAAACTTAGGTTCTTCAAGTACTGAAAATTCCCATTTCCTGTTAGTTTTATTATTGTTATTGGAAACATTTTTGAAGCTGATTTTTCCCCTTATTTTGAGCTTATTAATTCTTTTAGTCATTAGCTCCCTTACTATCTGTAAGTTATTAATTTAAAAATATTTACTTGGTGCGCTGATAGTACTGCACCACTGCTTTCTCCTGTTCGTGAGTTTCGATCGAGCCTTTTCGCATCTTGCGGATCTCGTTGATGGCATCAATGCCGGTAATCTTCCTGGTCTTCACCAGGTAGCAGGCCAACATTGTCCCTGTCCTGCCATGTCCGTGCATGCAGTGGACACCCACACCCTGTGGAAGAGCATGATAATAAAACACTTTGTTTTGTACAGTGATGGGTCACAGGCTAAAATGTTGATGTTACAGTAAAGAGAATAAACTGCATTACTGTCAGGTTTATATATGAGCATTATTAGCAGCAGTTAATGCTAGTTCCAAAACAAAATCAACTTCAACAGAGAAGCAAGTTTACATTTTTAGTTTAATTAGTTTAAATGTACCTACACTTAGTTTATAGTGAATTTAACAGTAATTTTCTGGTAAATATAAATTTCTCTCACTATCTTATAAGACAGTAGACACTACGGTAATAGACAGGAACGTTAACATTCATCATTCCTATGGTATGTTCCGAGTGTACTTTGTTTACATGGTAACATTATAAATAGTTTCATGAACTCTCACCTCCCCCTTGGAGTTGGCTTCTTCCACAATGGACAGAAATCTGTCAATCTGATTTGGTGAAGGCGGGGTAAAGTCAACTATTTTGATGTGATGCAGCTGCAGCTCTGGACATGTATCGTAGTATGGCGGTTTTCTTTCACACAGGCAAACAAGGTGTTTGATTCCATTGTCCAGCAGGTACTGGTACTCTGAAGTCATCCTGGGCAGAGCCAGACCAGCCAGTTTTCCTGGTTCCACCCAAGAGAAGTTGTGGGGAGCGAAGGAAGCCATGGGTCTCAACCTAAGGCCAGAAAAACGTATTGTATCGATGGATCTTTTAACAACACATCAGAGTTATATGTGATTACAGACCCATTCAGACCTGACTTTAGATCCCACCTACACAACACTGACATGTCAGCTATCTTTGCTTTGATTATGAAGGTTAGTCAAACTTGACATGTCAGCTATCTTTGCTTTGCTTTTATTATGGAGGTTAGTCAAACAGTTCTAGTACAGATGTAACAATTTCAAACAGTGTCAGAGTTTAATATTTATAACATTTTAAGATGTGTTTTCCAAGCACCACATTGTGGCAAATATTAATATTTATAAAATGATTTAAGCTTTACAAGAGATTTTGACTTAACTCCACCTGACAGTGACTCAGGGTAAATAGCATTGTATTTTCATTGTTTCTTTATAATTTATCCAATTAATACAACAGTTTATTTGTTTTTATGACCAAATCTGAAGATTAATTCAGGTATTCAACGTACATAAAAATTATTTTCATGTACTTTGAATATATATTGAATATTTTTTATAGTCCTCAACTGTGACTAGGAAAACACTTGAATGTCACCATTTAAACAAACACACTAGTCTGTCTCTCATCACGAGAACACTGTTTAAAGACCATAAAGTCAATAAAAGTCCCACCCAGGTCAACGTGCTAGCCTTGCCAATTACTGAATAAACATTACCTTTGCTGCAAGTTCAACTGTTAAGTACAGCCAGGGGAAGGTCCTGTGGGAAAATGAAGAATGGTAAACATATCTGAGAAGCTGCTAAGAGTTACATTAGCCAACTGGCTAGTCTGGATCTACCGGTGTATTACTGAGGGATTATACTGACTGTTCGTTACATAATTCATCATAATAAGTGTCTAGACGGATATGGAGAAATGCTAACAGCAGACTGCAAGTTATTTAGCAAGCAACGTAAACGAAATATAAAAAGTAAAAAACAGTTGCTTGAAAACTTTACAATAAATAGTACCTAGAAGCTAACCGGCTAACAGCTTGGTAAAGTAAAGCAGGTACAATTCTGACTTTGTTGTTATACGTCGATCATCAGTGAGTCACGGAGAACAGATGTAAAAGTACTTACAAAGTTTCCTTTGTGAAGAGCGTGGCTTTGAAAAATACTTCACTGGCTGATATAGCGGTTTATCAGGCTAACCAGGTAAAATGTCCGCCGTGGAGCCAAAGTCAGCCTGTAACGGATCATATATTCTGTCGCAACGTCATTGATGGGGCAGCGCCATCATAAAGCCGATAAACAGCGGGCCAGTGTGGGCGTAAATCAGCTGTCAGCGTAAATCAACACCCGAAAATCAAGATATACAGTGAGCGCACCACATGTAAAAACAGTATCCTTTGTAGTTTCTCACATGTCAGGATGGCCGAGCGGTCTAAGGCGCTGCGTTCAGGTCGCAGTCTCCCCTGGAGGCGTGGGTTCGAATCCCACTTCTGACAGTAACCTTTTCCCTCCTTCAAAAACTTCTTTTAAATTAATTTTCAGTGATACACAAAGGTTTGGAAAAATCTTAACACAACTAAATAAAGCAAAGTCTCATGCTTTTGCTAAGTAAGGAAACTGTTAGAAAACCGTTGATATAAAATAACGACACGCTGGGTTTCTGTAATATCTTTTTGGTTTGAGGAATTTGCCTTTAATGTACAATTCTGTATTTCCAGTCAAAATACAAATTGATATTAACATTTACTTTAAACCAATTTAATAACTTTTGATAAACAAGATACAACATTGGTCAAATTGTCTGAAAGTTTATCCGCGTAAATTATTTACAAGACGTTAGCTGTTCCAGAAGTTAAAGGTAGAAGCTATCCAATTTTCTTACCTTTGTGCGAGTTTGGAGACGAAATGAAGTGTGGCAGTCGTGGCTTCCATTATATCGTAGCTCCCAGTGATTTTTCTTTCTTTTTTACATGTAATTTTCAAGTATCACTAAAACAGTTCACCACATTTTGGAAAAACAACGACAATCGTAAAAACGTCAAGTACTTTGTTCTGACGAACAGCCGCTCTTTGAAATAACTACTGCTAAAGGTAGCAGGTTGCCAGATTTGGCAGAATCACTTTTTTTTAGTAATTTTCGTGTGTTTTACAGTTTATATTTGCTAACAAATTAAATTTGTTAAAATGTTAGTAGACACGAATTTTAATGTAATATAAAATTATTAACATGGATTCATACAAATGTAAAACTTTTTTTTAACATGGATTCATACAAATGTAAAACGATTTTTTATTTTAAAAGATCAGAAGCAGTATATAGTAGAAGATATTCCACAGCACTAAAATGTTGCACTGCTTATGTTTAATGTTAGTGACTTATTCACGTGGCCACGGACATCATCAGGCATTACTTTTAATAGATAAAGGAAGATTGTCTATCTTCTATGAATTTGTGGATTAAAGAACTGTAGGGGGTGCAGTTGCTCCTAGAGTGTCACAGTGATAAATGCTTTTGGTATTGTTTTGTAATCATTTTGTTTTGTTTCGCATGATGGAGTATTAGGACCACATACAGGTTAAACAAATTAAAATGACACCAGTCAGCTCAATTGTCTAAAAGTTTATAGCTGTATATTTACTCCTGTATTAAAATTTTGACTTTTTTCTACCCCAGGACTGTTTTTGTTGTGCTCACCATGATGAACAGGAACACAAAAATCAAAGTTTTCATCAGGTAATCGTCCAATAAATGTCCAAAAGTAATTCTAGTCTGCTAGCAGATAGCAGTGGTTTTCTAGCAATGATGCAATGTCTTAAGTGTCCATTTGGTTTTAATTTCTCCTGGCATTTCCACACGGAGGCCGACGGCCGTTCAATACAATCTCACCATAAAAGAAAACAGAGAGAGAGAGAGAGAGAGAGAGAGACGTCCGCTTGTTCATTACATACAATAGATAATGATACAAACACAAAGGTTCAGAACTCACAGCACAGCACAGTTTTACTTGCTAGTCATTTTGTACAAAGAGTAGAAAGAGGGTTTGTATCTGAAGGAGACAAACTGTATCACATTTGCCAGATAGATGAGGATACACACAGACTGGTTTTCAGAAAGGTATTTGTAAAGAGGATCACACAGATGAATATTTGAAACGTCCCGTTAAAAAAGCGCTCACTCACCCATTGGTGTTAAAAAAAAAAAAAAAAAAAAAAAGTAAGAAGAGCTTTTTCAGAAATTACATACAGGTATAGAAAGATATTTAAGTGATTGGTAAAGTTGGAATAAACGTAAACAAGACAAATTAAAGACATTCCAATAATCATGTGGCATCTAGTGGAAGGCGTGTTTTTGTTTTTCTGTCCTACGGCGCTGCATCCACTCACAGGTCATTTAACAGAATGTTCCAAAAGAATCACAAAATATTTTTTAATTCTCATTTTATCAACTTTTTTTTTAACTTGTTTTGTTTCATACACATCGCAACCTGAAGACTTTTTGGGTTGACTGGTCGTCCATCACTCAGGGTCTCTACACACTCATCATCATCATCATCATCATCATCATCATCATCATCATCATCATCAACATCATCACTTTCATCCCTTTTGTTTCATCTTAAAAAAATGCACAGACCCTTTCAACATGCGACAACACCCCCCTGACAACGCAATCACATCCCCTTTAATTGTTTACATGTTAACTCTGTGGTTTTTAATTGGTGCACTCTTAAGGTGCCGTTCGACCAAAGGAAGGGGCAAAAATCACCGTGCCCTCCTACTAGAAGATTTCTATGTATTTTTGAACGTCCATGTTCAAAAGTCCCACACGGAGCAGACGGCTGAGGGGCCATGCCGGGCTTACAGAATGGCACAGAAGAACTTCTTCTCCCGGAAGGGGTTCTCTGATGCCGGCACCGGCGATAACAGAGGGTCCTCTTTGGCATGGGCTTCACAGTATGACATCAGGTCAGCGGCTGCCTTTGACACCTGCAGTGGAACAAAAGCACATGGGTTCATTTGGGCTATAATGGTATTTTTGGAAA